AGGTGATGGTAAAGTCTGTCAGGATGGAGACGGAGCAGGAGCGACTTCCTTTCCCTTGGAATTGGGTTTTGTGCACTGTCTATTGTTTCCTGCAAAGCGGGTTACGCTTTCGCCCAGGCCATCCGGACATGAGCATCATCAAGACAACAATGTTATGCGCAGCGGGAATGCAGGCTAGATTGTCAGATTGCTGAGGCCTTTAAGTCACCTCTGTTCCCCGCTGTTACTTTGCCTACTAAGATATTTTCACTTTGTCTCAAATCGAATTCGGACACTGCCTCTGCATGAAAACTAGTTTAAGAGTCAAGGAATGTTGCACACAGTAAACACAAATAGGCTTACAAACCAAATAGTAATGGTCAGGACAATTTTTTGTCTATTTTGCAAGGATAAGTGTCCAAAAACAAGAATAGTTAGAATGCAGACTATGAAAAAGTTATTAGAGTTTTATTGTAGAGTTTAAAAAGTTTGAGGTACATATATTTAGGAAATTAAATTACTATGCAAACCCCATCAATATATTCTTATTTCCATAATAGAAAAAAATCATAAATTTTTTAAATAATAATTAAAATAAGTGGCAAGTGACTTGCTCTTGTCATGGTTTTTTCAAAATTTAAAGAGCTAAGAATAATCTCTAGAACCAGTTGGCTTTTTCTGAATTAAGCTGATATTAATTGGATGAATGCCAAAGGTGAAAGTTGGAGAGCGTTGACAGAAACCAATCAGATTAGCAGCCAATCAAAGCTATAAGCCAAACTGGCACACATCTACGCAAATGAAAATGTTACCCGTATCGCCAGACACCAAACCAACCTGTCGAGGTGGGATTTCCACGGAAATTAAGCTGCTCTCAATGCCAACAGCACAGAAGCAACGATGATGTTTGCCCACGATGACTTTAACAATTTAAAACATCAACGCACACAAATCCGAATTGCGGCTGGATTGTCGGTGAATGCAACCTCAGCTCCTTTGCCTGCGAATATCCCACATCAGCTGTCAGTCAGCCAGCGTTTTAGGAAGGATTTTCCCAGGCATATGGTAACTATGCAACGGATGGAAAATATAAGCAGAAACATCCGGTTGCCAGTAACTTGCAGAGCAAAACACAGACAGCCGGCAAGGTGAATCAGGTTGGCATGGTGGATATATGTTACTCAGTAGCTACAAATGCACACAACTTGCCACGCATTTACATATCAAGATTTTATACTGAATTGTGGCTTAGCTCAAAGAACTGGGTTTTAAAAAGACTACAATGGAAGATAAGGTTGATAAACAGTTTGTCAGGTCTGTCGTATGGTTATTCAGATAGTTCAGTTAATAAGTTTTAGGTGATTGACTTATTCAACTGCTATTGCAATAAACAAAGACTATATTATATGGATAAGGAGATAGAAAGACTTTAAGAATATAGTCTGCGCTCAGAATTTTGGTTTTAAAATTTTTGCAAAGCAAAATTAAATGTTTTTGATAATATATTAATTTTTGAGCATACTTTCTGTCATTTAAAATTGTAATGAATTTAAAGTAAAAAAGAAAACACCTATGTCAGCCACATAAAATATTAATATTTCCGCTAAGTTTTCTTTAACTTTTTTGAGTTTTCCTCAGTTTTAAGAGCATCCATTAATTTTTCAGAGGAAACGGAAGAAAAGGTCTTTTTGCTGCAATGCGCACTTGAGCAATATAAAGTATGCAACACAAACAATGAAAAAGCCATTACATTTTTGATTCTAGAAATCAGTTTTCCTGTTTTTGCCAAAGTTGAGCGACAAAGTAAATGGCAAAATAATAGTACAGAATGTTGTAATCTTTATGGAAGGTCTGATATTGTCGGGCTTACGACGACCTCTTTTTTGAATATTTCACAAAATTCAAGTGCAGCTGAAAGGAGCACAAAGAATGTCTCTATTCAACCTTAGCATTTCTGTTGAAAAAAACGAAAAGAGAACTAGAAATCTGACACAAATAAAGCTTTTATATCCATGTTTTTATGTGTGTGCTCCTTGCTGGGCCATAAGCTTCCTTAGAGAACAACATTAATATAAAAACAAAGTTGATGGAAAAATCTCAGAAAAAAGTCGTTGGGCTTTTGTTTGGTTTGGCCTTCTTTGCCCCCGATACACAGCCATATAATGTAGGATATATATGTAAAAGATCGTAGTGTTGTTTATGCTTACTCAAGCGAAATAGAAAACGGTATTAATCTGCCCGGGGAATAAAAAACGAATAGGTGCAGACGATCTAAGAAAGAACCAAGTTTCTTAATCCTGGGAAGCCTTGAACATTAGTTTCGAACGAATATATAATTCATATGAATGAATATGTATAATGATTCATCTAAAACATGTGTAACTAGTAAGCTAACTAACTTAGTTCGTGAAAACTTCATTAAAGAAAACCAAATCAGGAGCATGGAAGACTTCAAAAAATGTTAACCTATTTCTCTTAAATAATTAAATCGACTGATAATCAAAACCAAAATAAATAAATTGCGAAACCCATGTAATCCTTTAATACTTAAAGCTTCAAATTTGGAAACACAGTACTAATCACAAAAAAGCTGACAGACATAAAATAACTAATCATAAAAAACGTGTTATTTTAAAAATTAATCACGAACCGAACTATCACTATATTCCAACACTTCGTTTATTTATTCAGAAGCAAAAATAAATAATAAAAATCTTACAATAAGTTGAAAACGATGGCGGGCACAACAAATATATTTCCCACTTGAACCCCTCACAACAATACCATAAAAGGGGTTAACTGTCAGAATCATGGCGCATCTATAAAAACCACCTACAATCCTCCCACATTTCAGGGGAGCATGTCAATGCCGATGGCAGCCAGAACAACAAATTCACAGGCCATGCCCTGAAGCCAACGCAAATAAAAATGACAACAAAACAATCTTCAACAAAGGCAAACAAAAATGGGGAATACAAACACAGACAGTTAGACAACGGATCCCAGAGCAAAGAAATGGTGGCACAAAAGCCAGCGATAGATATGAGTGGAGTATGATTCAATTCCATTAGCAGACGTTATGCACAGCAAACTCGACAAAAATCGATGAGCTGCCATCGATGTTCGCCAAATTTTCTTCTAATTCCTAACGCACGCAATGCAGTTCCAGCGAAAACGGGTTGACTGCTAATGGAACATTGGGGATAGGTGGTCGTTGTGGGAGAAGCGTGAGTAAGTTGGCCACGTCACTCGGTCGTCCCAGATTGCCAGTAAAGTTTAAAAGTCATGTCTGACATTTTGGCAACACGTAAATCCGCGCACTTCCTGAACACTGCACCCTCGACCCAAGTGGGTGGCTGATGAGGAGCCAATCGAGGTCATGAACTAGGGTGAGTAGGGATAGTCCCCATAAGCTTACGCGAAAAACGCCACAACATGCTGCTAAATTTGTTGTGCAATTTTCACAGCTAACGAAGTGGGAGACCATGAAATTCTATTAGAAATTCAAACGGAAGTTGTACTTGTAAGGGCAGCAAATTGCAAGAAATATTTCAGATCTATCAGATACTTTAAATACAACTTCAAATTCTTTACTATCAAAAATGTACTGTACACAATTCAAACAAATTTTGAAAAAAGGTAATATGTTGGTTCTTACCACATTTGCTTTAGAGGATGTATTGTTTTTTCCCACAATAAAACCGAATAGAAACATAAATCCCCCTTTTTCTTAACCATATAGGCTTTCCATAAGTCACAAGTCAGAAAGACCAACCCTTTGTATATCAACCAGTAGTGTAGCACCATTAGCTGCCATTCTGTTCGTAATAACAAATGTCTTTCAGCCATAAATCCCATATAGACACGCAAGCCAGCCTTGACCCATAAAAGCTAATGAATTTAATTAACCACCCTTAAGGAAGTCACCGCAAGTAAACATAAACGACTCTTCATATGTCGGCCAAGCCAGGCAAACACTTGAACTAGTTAATCCATTTGCACACTCAGCTCCTAATGTAGTGCTATAACCAAGGAAAAGACAATCAATATGGGGTGTAGGGAATTGCAAAACTATCCAGCTAGGCGCCCAATCAATTAAAGAGTAATCCAATGGGGAATACCCCGCAGCTCAGACGGGTGAGTATGGAAAGCTTGAAGCGCATTTTCTTTGTCATCTGCCGCATAAATAATTCAAATAGCGCCTTCCTTCAGACGGCGACGCCTTTCAATAGCTTCGCTGCACAAAGAACTCAAGTGGGACAATGACAATGAGCCTTCTTTTCCCTCTATCACCATACACACCGCCTTCACAGTGAAATGCACGACAAAGTTTCCTTTATTTGTCTATTGCTGACAGGAAGTATGGCAATCTGAAAGTAATTTCAGCGTAATTGGATAGACGCAGCCTATTTAAAAACTTATTTAACAGTCACAAAGAACAATAAACGTGTGCAAATTTTAAATTGTGATGCACTTGAATAGTATAATAGAGGGCAACGATGATCTACTTCTTCGTTAATGTATACTTATATATTTTATAATAACCGTTAATGATTTAAAGATTAACCAATTGATTTACTTTTTTTAAATGCTATTTATTGCTATTATCGGTGAAAATGAAACTGATTCAATTTGATTATGCACATTTATTAATACCCCTTTTTCCCGGTTAAGACTTAAAAAATAAAAAAATACTTTAATCGAAGTTTTAAAATATATTCCACAGAGCCAGGTATAATAAAACTTTTAATGCAGTAAAAGTTTCCTCATTCTTCAGCTTTTATATTCTTCTCTTTACGTATCTCAACCTTCAATTTTCTATTTTCTACCTATGACAAATGAACAGGTTAAAAGTTTTTTTAAACTGACCGTACTGTGGGGACCTAAACGCAACTAGCAGTCAAACTTTCATCTGCTTAGATTTACCAATAGTATGTCAAATAGATAAGGCTGAAGCATATAAACGACTATTCCTATACATATGTAAATTTATAAAATGTTTTTGCGTCTTTGGCACTCACCATTCTCGATAGTCTCCTTGGCACAGGATATTATTTTTCCTTTGCGACGTCGCAAATTTGATTCAAAATTGTTGTCATCGGTGAAATCATCCTCGCCTACATCCCTTGGTCCGCCGCCAGCGTCGCCGGCTGTTGTAGTCGCCGTTGTTGTCGTTGTGGAGTCCGGCACATCCTCCGACGATTGACGCTCCGAGTAGGAAACTCCATCGCCTTCGCCTCCTTCTCTGCCGTGCATTAAACTTTTAAAACTTTGGCTCATGCTGTGCCAAAATTTGCCTCTGATTTGTTTGATATTTTTCTTTGTTTTTGCTGTTTGTTATTTTATATGATTTCGGTTCGACGCCTTCAATGTTTTTTTAGTTTTCAAATTTACATAAGTTTACACATTTTCTGCATGATTATTAATTCACTATATAATTCAGATGAATTCATAAGATGACCCAAAAAAGTAGGCAACGTTTTGTTTACAATTACGAACAACTTTATCGAAAGGAAATGCTTAAATTGGGTGCGTGGTTAGAAGAAAAAAAGACTGGGGAAAAGCGAAGCACGCCAGCGGTCAGGAAAATAGAAAGGCCAAGACTTTGCCGGCTAAAAAGACATTATTGTTGTTTTTAGCTGCTGCTGTAAATGCTGGCTAGTAAAAGTGGGTTGGTCGGTGTTGGTGCATGACCGCGTAAGAAAGGGTGGGTTCAGACATTACGCACAACCCCAAGACCGATCCGAAATGCGTTTCGAAAAGCCAAACTACCAACGAACTTTCCCAGACAAGTAGCACAAACAGAAGTTAACCATTCAACCGCTTTGAAAACATAAAAGAAATCCAAATGGCTTTCTTATTTCATAATCGCTTCTTGCATTTAGGTTAAACAATCGTCGAAACAACAAGAACGTTTTTGTCAGCACTAACCGAAAGCCCATAAAAATTATTTGTTAGTCACGAAACTATTAGCCTTAAAAGCGGAGAAATATTTGTTTGACCGATTTTTTTTATTAAAAAAAAGTATTACAATATTACTTTTTCCTTTTATTTGAAAATGACATGCGGAACGCGTCGAAAAGAAAGTGTTTGCGCGCTGGGAAATGCCGTCAGAGACTGAAATGTCTTTCACTTGGCTGCGGGAGTGAAAAATCCAACACAAAGAGCAGCAGCGTGGTGGGTTTCTCAGTTATTGATTTTGTACTGCAAAGACAGTAAACGCTATAGGGCAACATTTGTTGGTGGGATTGCTTTTGGGGGGAGGACTCGAACAGGCAGGGCGAGGCAAGCGTTCAAAAAGCCGGCTTTAATCGAGAGCGCGAGAGCGTAAGAGCCAAGCAGACAGCAAGGCAAACAACAAACAATGAGACAGAAAGGATGAGTACATAAAACCAAACATGATTTTATCCTCTGGTAATAGACCTTTAATTCTAATTTGAAGTTATTAATAATTTTTTTAGGTTTAATTCTTAAAAACAAAAAAAAATATAGGCTCTGTTTCGGCATTTAAAATAGATTTTGCACCATTTTTCTTTAAACTAATAGAAAAAAAATTTAAGCTTTTCTTAAATTTTAATATTTTCTACGCAATATACTTTTAAATAAAAATATATATGTACAAATAAAAAAACAGAATTCGAGTCAAACATTCCAAAAATCAAAACTAGAAAATTAGTCTTCGAAACCATTTCAGAAAAAGCCTTTTGAATTGAAAATGTTTTATTTTACACATATTTAAACTTAACACAGTTTGCGCAAATATTCTGATCTTGCGTTTGAGAAATGTTAAGGCTATTATATATTATTTATATATCGCCTACAGAGTTTCGAAATTAAACGAGGCGAAGACTCAGTCAATCTTAATTTGTTATGTTTAACTAGTTAAACAATTATGTCCCAAATTTTTTAATTAGTCCCAGTCCTGGTCAGCCTCGGCGTTGACTGGATCAGAGACGGCATTTCCCTGAATGTTGAAACAGTTATTAGTACCCGCAAGGCTAAAGGATTCAGTAGGTATACTCACACCACCACGGACATCGACGCCACCAAACTTTTTGTAGGAGTAGCCACCACCACCGCCGCCGCCCATATCGCTGAGGAACTCGGGAACCGTCTGAGCAGATCCTTGCAGGATTTTGATCAAGTCCGATGCGAGAGCACGATCCTGATCCGGATCAAAGAATGAGGTGGCACGACCATTGTTGCCCACACGACCTGTGCGTCCAATGCGATGAACATAGTCATCAATGTTGTTGGGCATGTCAAAGTTGATCACATGCTTGATATTCTTGATGTCTAACCAGACAGGAGACAAGTGTAAGTATAAAAAGTCTGGTTATTGGCGCTCTAACATTATTATATTACCGAGACCACGTGCCGCCACTGAAGTGGCTATGATCACCTTCATAGTGCCGTTTTTGAAATCACGCAAGGCCTGCTCGCGTTGACTCTGAAGACGGTCGCCATGGATTGAGGTAGTCGGAAATTCGGTTTCCGATAAGAACGAAGCCAAGAAGTCGGCACCACGCTTGGTCTCTACAAAGACTATAGTGCCATCTGCTTGCTCGCGCAAGATTTCCTTTATAAAAAATATAAATAAGTTATTTAGGTAAATATGGTAATACCTTAACCAAAGTTGGCAACAGAAAAATAAACTAATTAGATGTTTCGAATTGAAAGCTTATACTATTTCATCAAGATAGATCACAAATGTAATTACTATCCAGATTGTAGGGCTGAAGGTTTAAATTTATAATTTCCATTATGAGAGTTCAGAAAATACCGACTTACCATTAGCTTGGATCGCTTGTTAAACTTGTTAACTTCGTGGATGGTCTGTAGCACATCCGAACAGGCTCCTCCAACTACACCTATGGTTACGAAGACATAGTCCTTCAAGAACTCGCCCGCCAGGCGCTGAATCTCCTCCGGAAAAGTGGCCGAAAACATCAATGTTTGATGCTCCGGACGCATTGTCGAGTGGAACATAAATTTGCGCATGCTTTCCGAGAAGCCCATATCCAGCATCCGATCGGCCTCGTCCAACACAACGAAGCGAGTGTCATCGAATGTAATAAAGGTCCGCTCCACAAAGTCCAGTAGACGTCCCGGTGTCGCTATAAGTACATGGCAGCCTTTGGTAATGCACTCATTCTGATGCTTGAACGAGGTGCCGCCGTAAACAATGCTAATCTTTAGATATGAATCGAAGCCAAACTTCCTCGCTTCGCTAAAGATCTGTATCGCCAATTCCCTAGTCGGAGATACAATTACCGCCTGTGGCTTTCCAATCTCCAGATCTTGGGGATCATCCAGCAATTTGCTGAGAATAGGCAACAGAAAAGCAGCCGTTTTTCCCGAACCTGTCTGAGCACAAGCCATCAAATCACGGCCATCAGCAATCACCGGAATGGAGACTTTCTGGATTGGAGTCGGAACTTTGTAGCCTGATTTGGTCACGTTCTCCCCAATAATGCTGCGTAATTGAGCCTCCTCAAAGCTCTTAATAGCTTTTGGCACATTCTCGCCGCTTACCTAAATAACAAAAGTCGCACTTAATATATAATTGAATTTAAATGTTAAATTATTACCTTAACAGGAATGTTGTCATATTTAGAAAAATTAATTCCCGAAGTGATGCCACTACTAAAGATCTCAGTGACATCGTTAGTGGGTTCGGGTGGAATGTAAAATTCTCTTTTCTTCTCGCCATCATCGGCAACCTCATTATTGTTGTTGACATCGTCATCATTACGGCGACGTCTTTCACCTCCTTCCCCTTTCTCACCGCGTTCTCCTCGCTCACGGTTGAAGCCTCCGCGGCCTCCACGACGTTCTTCGCCTAAAAAAACACGTGGAGTAGATAGAAAATAAGTATTAATAATCTAAAACTAGTTAGTTTAAATGCAAAGATTAATAATTTACAATTTTCTTTTATTATGACAAACATAAAAAACAAAGACAAGAATTCGAAGGTGTTTTGAAATTTTAATAAAATACATTTTAATAATTTGTGAATTTGGTTTTAGTTACATTTCTTCAATAGATTTTAAATAAAAGAATCCATTTAAAATTCGGCAAAAATTTCATATTTTTATAAAAACAAATTTTGAACACATTTCCATATATATTGAATACAATGTTATAATCAAAGTTAAATACGTTCTTAATATTTTTGTTTCTTAATCTAGCGAAGGGAACAAAATCTTCCATCCGTGCTAAGATTTATAATATGTGCAGCCTTTAGTTCGAGCAAGAGATAGTTGAGCATCGCCTTATCCCTACGACTGCGGACAAAGGACGGCTTTTCCGTATCCACCTGTGGCTGCCTGACAAGAGCTCCAAAAAGGGCATGAATAATGTGAAACTTGTTCTTCGCGTTGAGAATTAGATTAGAATCGTAGACTTTGACAGCAGGCATTGAATAAAATCTGAAAGAGCCTTGGCTATTGACACTCGAGCGCAACAAAGACTTGCCCTGTAAAGTGAGTTCCTTTTGGCGATTCACCATTAGATGTAATATATCAGTGTGTTGTACAATGTAACACAAGTCGTTCATCGACTGTCGATAAAGTTGACTTTCCATTTCTGTTCTGCGCTCCCTTTGCGATTGCAAGTCATCTATGCGTGTCACTGCAGAAGCTACTCCGTTTTTGGCTACATATGTGCTAGAAAGATTGGATGATTCATACGGAAGCCTCAGAACTTGCACATCGGTAACAACGGCCCGATCGCTCATATATGGCAAAGAGTTCGAAACATTTAGCGGGGCGTGCTCAATTTCCATTGGCTCAACGGGTCCCGGCAGATTCAACACACTATAGGTGTCCATTAAGATATCGGGCGTAAGTTTCCGAGAATTTTTAGGACCTAAAAAAACCGCATTTTGATCCTGAGTAATTGGAGTAGAACTAATGGGAGGTAAAGTAGCAAGTTGATCGAAAGGAGCTAACTGATGAGCACTAGCATCGATATCTACAGAAGCTTCTGCAGGAACCGGAAGGAAAGCTGATGATTGAATACTAGCTCCAGACACCTGCTCAGCGATTTCCGTTGAAATAGTCGGTACTGTAATTGGTTCGATCTGCTGTTGTCCAGGACTGCCGATCTCCATTGGGGCCAAGACCTCTTGATGTCCAATTGTCTGATGTGAAGCACTCGCAACTGCCGAAACGCTTTGTAGAAAGTCAGCCATAAATGTGGTTGCCAAATGGCGACTGCTTTGCAGTGCAACCTCGCCCTGGATAAGTTCTTCCGGTGTTGGCGGAGGTGTTGGTGCTGGAGCAGTTCGAGGAACGCGTACCCGTGCACGTGAGGGACGTCGGACCCTCGGTGCTTGCCTGGGAGCTGGGCCATCAAAATAGTTCACCATCTGAGGACGTGGCCGGAAAATTAAAGACCACTCACGTTGCGGGCTTAAAGGAGGAGTCACTGGCAGAGCAACTTCCACAGCTGCCAACGATTCTGTCAGATTCATCGTCGACTCAGCAGCTTTTTTTGGTGACAAAGAAACGTTCATCTCTAGCTCACGTGACGTTGCAGTGAAGCGGTGAACGAACTCATCCTCTTTGATGACCGTCAAGTTTGTTCGGAATGTCGATGCTGGTGTACCTTTAAGCCGAGAACGCACCAGCGATGACCCAGCAACGCCGACTATGGCTGTTTCATCCGTATCAGCCGGCAGGATCAATGTGCTGCCATCTATTTCTGTCCCCATTGAATGATCTTCCGGAAGCTGTGGAAATGCTGGCGCAGATGATTCTTCTCCAGGTATTGACAATTGCATGGTCCCATCGTCATAGTTCAGATTACGTCTAAATGACCAGCTGTGGAACGGACATAGCTTTAGTGTTAATTATCGGCTACATGTACATTTGAAAGAAGGATATGCATGTGCTCGAGGAGTTGTGAGACAGGTTTATAGGGAAGCATGCGTAATCCGTTTTAAATTGTAATAGGTGTTTGAAATCTGTCAAAATCAAACCCCAACAAAATCATGTGTCTTTAAAAGTATTGGTGACTACCTAAATTTTGTATTGTTTTCGTTAACTTTCAATGTTTGAGATTTACTGGACTATAAACCTCCGCTCGCTTATTGGGAAAAGGAACTTAAGAGCACTCATAGATGGAAAGAAAGGAAAGTATAGTGTAATAATTATTGGTTTAAAATACCCTGAACCGCTGCTATCCGCGAGTGGGGTGCTCAAAACACCCACTTCCGATGCTATTCTTGGTCCAACAGTTGCTGACCAGCGGGGCTCCTCATTGGGCGTCCCGCCTAAGCGACCGAAATCAACACCATCTGGAGTTTCCTCATTCTGGGACCGATGAAGTCGTGCCACATTTACCAGACTGCTAGCCTGCACGCAACTGGAATTGTCTGCCCCTTGTCCATTTGGTGGCGCAGTTTCAGCAGTCGCAATGATAATTGTCCTACGTACTACCACAGAAGTCCGGATTATGTGCCGAAATTCTGGATCGTTTAGCCAAACTGGAAATGGGGTATTAGGCCAGGCCAGACTTCTAACCAGCTCACGCGGACTGCGAAGATGTATTTTCCTTATTTCATGGCGAAGCAGAAAGTCCTCGCTTAACGAGTGCTGAAATCGGGTCGAACCATAGGTGAAAGAATTCGCTGTTTGCCCATTTCCTTGGCGGTCTTCGTCCGCCGTTGGACTAGAAGCTTCTTGAATAGCGTCTTGATCATCGTTTAATCGACGGCCAGTTTGATAATGATCCATAAACTGCTGCGTGTAAAATGCTGAAAGCACAGTCTGCGTTTCTTCACTGCTCTCTGTTCCAATTCCGGATAGATCATCTTCAATCCTTCTTCTCCTATTGACTGCTCTCGTCCTATTCACCGAAAGTTCCGGCACCACAAATGGTTGTAAATTGGACTCCAATTGGGACACATTTGGTTCCCAATTCACGCCCATGTTCTGGAACTGTTCAATCACATTTGCGTTCTGTTCGCCTTCAGGCTCGGTTAGCAGTTGGTTTATGTTCTCTATAAAGCGATCCATCACGACAGCAGTCTCGCGAATCTGCTGTACTTTTTGTTCACGCCTTTCTTGATCAAGGCGCTCGAGGACATTCCACTCGTAGTTTACCAACTCTTTAAATGCCTTAAACAAATAGTCACGCAATTCCCGCACCTTGGCCAGGGTTCTGTACTTGCTTAGATCCAGTTCACCGATAAATGCCTCCACCACATCCTTGTCACAAGTCGATGGGATCGGTGGCAGATCCGTAGCTAATTTCGGCCAAACCACAAATTGGGCAAAACAAAAAAACAAACATGACAAAACCATCCACAAACACAGTTACAGAGAATGTTTACAATTAAGTACTTTCAAAAACCTCTTCACAAAACATACATACATACATTTATCAAAATTGTAAATAATATGACTTCAAAAAACTGCTCTTACCGTCCTCATTGCCGTCGCGACGGCCTCGGAAACCGCCGCCGCCTCCTTCGCGGCGACCTCCGCGGAAACCACCTCCATCGCCATCTCCATCTCGATCTCCTTCCTTGCGAAAGCCGCCTCCAACCCTGCCTCTTCCGCCAGAGCTCTTGCCATTGTCCTCATCATCGCTCCACCCGGTGACCTCCTTTTGAGGATTGGCAGCTGGGACATCGTCCCAATCTCCGCCATCGGCACTTTGAGTAGGAGCAGAGGGCTAAAATAGGTTATATTATTAAGCAGATCTTCTTTTTTCAAATTATACAAACCTCATCTCCCCAGTCTGACATATTGATTGATTATTAATGGGCTAAAACCAGAAAAGAATTAAGGGTTAAATTATAAATGCTTAAGATATTTTTTGAGTATTTATAAGAAATATAAAGTGTAACTTTAAAACGGCTTTATAACCAGTCCAAAAGACATGATCTCATATTATTAGTTAGCGACAACGATAATTAATTTTCGAGATAAATGCGAATTCAACTTAATTTTTTTATTTTATCCTATTATCTAATATTTTTTGAAAATTGTATGAACTTACATATTTAGATGGGTAATTTTGTGACAAATGTACTTTTATGGCTACGAATTTCTAGGTATTTTGTATGTTCGTTGACATTTACGAAACATCACCTTGTATAATTATTAAACGTATCCCAAGTATTAAATTTATTAACATTTTTTATAGAAGTATCTGTTTTCTTACTTATCAGACATTCAAAATTCAAATTGGCGCCAAATGATAAAAAATTAAACATGCTTAAACACAGTACATATTATTATTATAAGATTTTTCTCATCTGTCTATGGAAACTTTACTCTTAATTTTAACTTTTTATTCTATTCCTTTTTTTAGATATTCCAGCCGATGGCATGATTTATTTATTTTATTTTTAATAATCGAGAGCCCGCTAAACACAGCTGCCATTCACATCGATTTCGGAAATTCGCAGCGAAACGCTTTGAAAAACGTGAGTTTCTGTTTTTCTATGTATACCAAGAACACATGTGGGCGCCTTTCTCTGTGTGCGTGAGTTGGCCCATGTGCGTGTGCCATCGCGTGCCAAAGTGTGTGTGTAGGTAATACTAGCAGCGAGGCGAAGAAGAAACGCTGAAAATTAAGGTTAGAGAGCAGCAGCCACCAAACAGCCAGCAGAAAAGTAAGAAAAATCACCCTGAAATTCATTATTAAATTGGAAAAAATCAATTTAATCCAAGGGCTTTCACCTTGATCCTGAAACTAACCGAAAATCAGGAAGATTTAACCATAGTTTGTGATAGAAAAGCACTCAAATCTGAAAGGGTGTGAGGTGCGAGCGAAAAAGGAAAATCAATTTCTGAACCGTGTGTATAAAAATTCTTTTGCAGGAAACAGCAAAACTAGCCAGCTAGCAGCAAAAAACACAACCCATCCACACAATAATCATGGACAGCGCCGGTAAAAATCGTTATGAACTCTTGTTCATGGACGACGATGTCAGCGATCCATTAGATAATCTTGGGGCGCCGACATCCGCCGCCGCAGCAGCAGCAGCAGTAGCAGCTGGCAAGAAGAAGCAGCAGCCATCAGCTGGGGCTACAACGGCCACCAAAACGACCGCCAAGGTGACCAACAGCAATAAGGCGACCGCAGGATCGAATGGAGGACCCAATGCCAAGAAACCAAATCAGGCCGAAAAGGAGAACAAACCGAACAATGCTTTAAACAAAACCGATGGCAAGAAGTTTACACCATCTGCCGATAAACCACAGTTCAGCAGCAACAACAAACAGGGTGGTGCTCCACGGACAGGAGCTGGCGCCAATCGAACACGTGAATTTGGCAGCGGTCAAGGACAGGGACAGGGACAGGGTCAAGGACAGGGTGGTCAGGGTCAAGGACAGGGACAACAGCGCAGCGTCAACTTCCGTCAACAGAATGGCAATGCAGAGACCCGTGAACAGCGCAACAATCGCCGCAATGTCCGCGAAAATGGTGGAGCACCCGATGGCCAGCAGACGCGTCCTTATCGCGGACCAGGAGGTGGTGGTCAAGGAGGAGCCGGAGGAGATCGCCCGCAGCGCCAGAATCGCAACTACGATGGCCAGAACAGGAAGCGAGAATTCGATCGTCAGTCTGGATCCGATAGAACCGGTGAGTGAGGCCAATAAGATAAACTATGTTAATCAGAAACAATTAAACTCCAATAATTCCAAAAATATTAACAGTCTGGAACGTCCCACCTATCATTTTTGGCCAAATTCCAATTATAAGTCAAATGCAAATTAGCGCGAAAGTCAGTTAGGTTTCGGGAGTTCCCCTAAAGTTCTAAAAGGCAATGCAAATTCTATTGGTAGAGATTTCTGGACGACTCCGTTAAAGAACTTAGGGTTATAAAATGGAATTTACAAGTACTCCTAACTCTATTGTGCATAAAATGAGTTTGGTTTAGGAAAGATAGCAGTAAAGCATAAATGGCATGATATGGCCGCCCTCGAGTTCAACTGATTCCAAATTAATATCTAATTTCTATACCTAAATAAATATATTTTTGATATTTTTAGATTCTACAGTAATAATGTAAAAATCAAAATAATCTAATGAAATATATTATTGTTCCTGCGCGGGTGGTGATCGGAATCTAAACCTTAACCGAAATGGGGCATGGCAGACATAACCACAAAATGAGCGCTCCCGCCCACCCAAAAGAAAAATTAACAAATAAAACAAAAACAACGCTCCATGACAACCAGAAAAGCGAACTCAGCAGGCGGCAAAAAGGCAGGGAATTCACATTCCGTCCACAGTTTACACGCAACTAAATTATCACGATTTTAATTTAGTTTAAAATTTGAACTATATAAATCAGTTCCCGAAAAATCACTAAAGTTTCTTAAATAATCAATAAGAATATGTAGTAAATTATCAGGTTAAAATCATTGCTTGCATATATTGAAAATCAATAACTAAAGTATAGCCATAATTTTCGCAAGATATTGAGTGCAAGTATTTAGATATCTATATTTAAACAGTGCATAAATATACGATTACAAAAATAAATTGCAGCCTATATAGATTCACAAACTATTTAATGAAAACATTGGGCAATTCTAAATTCCAAGCAAATATTTTGAAACGCCGAAATTGAACGATGGAATGTGTAAACCAACAACAAACCCCATAAACAAATGGGCGATGGACAAACGACGCAGCAAATCTCTTGCGCACGTGGTGGATAAGTCAAATCAATACTAATGGACAGAAAATCTTAAACAAGCAGCTAAGCTACATCACACTTCCTCCTTCCACTAAATAAAATCAGCTTCCTCGCATTTTCCGCTCTTCACTGGTGGCATTCGCTCCGACTGTTTCATTTTTGGAATATCCAAAATTATAATCACAACGGCGGCAGCAGCAACTGAAAAGACGCAGCGCTAGAGCTCAAATCGAAAGAGCGAATGTGTTATAAATAGTTTGTCTATCTTCTTGTCGGCATTCCCATCTAACGCAAGTGTTTGTAGGAGGTCTTTGCAAAGCATAAATAGGGAAATAGGGGAGGAAAAATAGTTCCCTACTGAATCTGATTACAGCGAACGTGTGCTGTCGGCTTATCTGTTACCATGCGAGGGCAGTGAAAAGGCTTAACGTGGTTAGATTTTAATAGGCAAGGTGATTCCCAACTGCAATTGACCTAATTAAACAGATATTGATAAGAGAGGGTACTGCTAGGTTGGGTGCTACGAAAGTTACAGATAGGTGAAGAAGTTTCTTGTTCCATGGCAGCATAAAACTCACAATGCCTACATAGATGATAACATATATGAATTGCTGAGTATACTTCTAATAGCCTATAAAATAAATATACGACTCTAAATATTATCTTAATAAATTTCACTCACCAATTTAGTCAAAATATAAAAACGCACTTAAGCTCTGTAAACAAATAGGAAGTACATTTATACATGTAATAGACATTAATAAGAAATAACTTACTCTTCGCTTGGACACAAGTTCCAGATGTCGATTTTCAGATAGCTGAGCTTTTTTCTACTACAGAAGTTGCTGCAATAAGAAACAAAATACAAATATTTATTAATTCATGTATCCTCCATTATCCACAGGTGTGAAATCAATTGACAAGCGCGATGGAGCTGGATCACACAACTGGGGATCGGTCAAGGAGACTATCGACGATGTGAACAAGAACGAAAGCGAGACCAATGTGGCCAATGCAGAAGGTGGCCCCAAGGCTGACGAATCGGGCACCGAACCACAGAGCGAACAGCAGGCGGCCGCCGAGGAGGAGGCCAAAGAACTGACCTTGGACGAATGGAAGGCACAGCAGGGACAGCGCATCAAGCCAACCTTTAACATCCGCAAGGCTGGAGAAGGTATAACTAAAATTAATAATCTCGTTGGTTTTCCACTTTTTGTATGGTTTACGAATTTAATAATCAATTTTGAGCAAAGGATATGTATTCTAGTTTTTGTCAAGATTGAATTCTAACGAAACAGGAACTTAACTGGCTAATCATATACATTTAATTCTTATGGTAAAATTGGGAAATCATAAGGTATTTTATATATACAGTCTGATTTTAGCTAAGGGCATATTTAGACTTGAAAACGGGGTATAAAAAGTGAAAACTAAATTAACGACATATTTTATTATCTAGATTGAATTATCTACAATCATTTTTGCCCACAGGTGAGGACACCACACAATGGAAGAAAATGGTCGTCTTAACCAGCAACAAAAAGAAGGAGAACGACAGTGAAGAGGAGCTTGAGTACGATCCTGCCTTATATCCACAGCGTGTGGGCAGGCAGCAGCGCGTCTTGGATATTCAGTTCAACTTCAACGACGGTCGTCGTGGCGGACCAGGTGGTTTTGGAGGACGCGGTGGCCGTGGAGGTCCGCGACCGGGTGGATTTGGCGGCGGACCCCGCACTGAGGGAGGCAATCGCGAGGGCGGCAACCGTGAGGGTGGCGGAAACAACCGTGACCGTGAGGGTGGAAACCGTGGCCCACGGGATGGCCAATCTGGACAGCAGCACAATAACGAGGGCGCTGCTCCTTCCGCTCAAAATCAGAGGCCGCCCATCGAGCGTCGTGGTCCAGGCAATAACCAGAACAACAACAATCAGAACAACAGCGGTCCAGGGCAAAATAAGCGTTTCGAGCGACAACAGAACACAGCTCCCAAGGTTAACGACGAGCGTCAGTTCCCCACACTGGCTTAAATCGAGAGTTTGAGCAGGAGCAGGTTGTTCCTCAAATTGCAGTTTTGGTGACTACTAAAGAAGATGGAAAGCAAGTTACCAAAATGAAATATAAATTACTTATATCACAGACAAGAAACTTTTCAAAACAAACAAAAGGGGGGAAAAAGAAACAATTATAGCCGCCATATAAGCCAAAAGCAACAAAAAATACCAACAAACAACAAGCTAAGCAAAAATGGATAATAAATTATACACATATATTTAAATATATGAAGATCACACGAAAAGCAATTTTAGTTTATGCGTGGCCAACTAATCAGATTTTACCCGGATAAAATCACGATCAAGCAAGTGACCTCGTGTAAACTAGTCAAAGTCAGGATAAGTCAGTCATCCTCATTATGGATTTAAATTCTAATGTCTGTTCACTATCTATGATACGAGATTTGTTCCGAGATTTTTCTATAAAACGGCATCGGCGGACATAGAAATTGTTTTGTTACATCAACCAAAATCAGATGTAAAATTGTTTTTTTTTTGTTATTACCACTCACTTAATCAAAAATCATCCTACCTACTAAAACCAATTACATTCGCTTACCAGTGAACAAGGCGAATAAAATAAACTAAATATTACAAATATAATAAACAACATCACGGCCTGACAAATTCTTCGATAAAAAGAAGCAAAACACACTAAATACATTACAATAGTTTGTTTTCATCGAGAGAACAGTAAAAGCATTTTCATTACTCATATAATTTTTGTTCTATTACGAATCAAATTTTCGTAGCAAAATGTACGTTTTATTATTTTTACTATGTTAACTTTTATTTAAAATAAAGAAAAACAAAATGAAAAAAATATTAAAATCAGTAGTTGGAAAAGAAACCCAAAACCGAAAGAATAGTAAGTGTTAAAACCTTTGTAATTGTGTTTCTTGGATGCGAACTCTATAATTATACTTTTAAATTTAATAATTATAAAGCAAACTATGCATCATATATACTACTTTTAATTATAAAGACCTAACTGAACACACACACACTGAAATACAAAAACAAAACAATATTAATTTAAGCATTATAAAAGAAATAAAAACAAAATATATTGATTAACTATTGGAGCAAATTATAAACCTTTAATAAGTAGATTTACAGTTGGACGAACGCTTTCAAAGAAACCTATTTCGAGTCAGATAAGAACACCCCCAAAAAACGCTAATATGAATTTCCCTGTAAAATCATTTGATTCTATTAATTAGAAATTGTATAAATTATATGAGATATATATTCGTACATACAAGGTAAAATTTTATGACAGCAAAACAAATACACAAAAAATAAAAGAATAAGAGGAAGCAAAGTAAGGAAACAAAAAAACTCGTAGATGAACAAAAATACGAAATTTTTTGAAATATTGTATTGTATTTTGACCCAAAGAAACAAACCATTCAACAGCAACCAAATGTTGAGCAACTCGTTTAAACATAAAACAAGAAAATTTATTTGATAAAATAAAGAAACAAAAAAACACTTGATATTAAAGACTTTAATGAGAATTTTGGGCTAATGTGGCTGGGGTAAATAAAATCTTAGAAAATATGGCGTAATTGGAGATGCACACACTCTTCTTTCAAAATGAGGGTGATTGCAAACAGCAGAAACTATTGTAAATACAACAAGTTTTAAGCGACGTTTTCAAAGAGAAATTTTTTCATGAATATGAGAAACCAAAACTCTTGTTCTGAAGTGGAAATTACGAGCCGAAGTAAAGGAAATAAAAATAAAATGTAATTTGAAGCGCATCTGAGTAATTACTGTTAAGGTATGCGCTTCAAATTACTCAAGTTTTCTTCAGAGAAACTTAAAATATGACCTCTTCATTTTTACTCACACTTTTCTGTTTTCGTTACTTAAATGGAAAAATCCTAGAATGATAGAACCGTAATGTCTTGCGATTAAAACAATGCGTAACAAGCAAGAAAAACAATTGAACACGAATATGAAGAAAACTATGTACAAAGCAGAAGGCTAGAAATTTGTGCAGAAGAGAGCAAAGAAAAGACAACTTAAAAAATATAATTTTAATAGTTGTGTTAAATTTGTCTGCAATATTAACATAAATATTAAATTATGAATAAAAAGGAAAACAAAACAATAAATAACACATTTCGAAAACTAAAAAAAATGCAACGTACTTTTCTGATTAAATAATACCGGTTAAATATCGACTTGTTTTGTAGTTAAATATTCACTCGCGGCACGCATGCTATTCCGTTCAGTGCTGCTAGCGTCTCCGAAAATCCCTTTTAAATATGTAGACCAAACGTCCCAAAACATTTTGGCGCTTCGACAACCCTAAAACATAACGGTGACTGACAAAAGGAGAACAAAAATGGACGCTTAACGAATATTGTGAAAAGGAAGCTTGGAAAAGGCATTCTTATGCACATGGGAAATTTGAAATTGAATTTGATGGCATTAAGTATTAAAATGTGGTTGCTTTTTCTTTTAGGAACAACTATTTTGCACGAAGAGAAAAAGGAAATTTTATTTTTAATTTTGCACGTTTCTGAAACAGATTCTCATGATTTTTTGTACTACTGGAACCCTTTTTTAAGACTCGCACTCACTTTTCTTTTTTTTATTGCTTAAAGGCGTATTTATATCAAAAGGCATTATAGAAAAAAGTTTTTAATGTTTCGTCACTCACCTCCTTTGCTTCTCAGCTATTGAATTCCTTTTAATTAATATTTTTATTTAAATTTGAAAACTTTCACAAAGTCACCGCGAAGAACTTTACGCAAGCGCATAAGAAGAAGAAGAAGGAGAGAAGCAGTAGAGTGGAGAATTCATGTTGATCGATGTTTCATAATATTGGTAATATCGATGATAGGCAGGGCGTCATCGATGTTCTTCCATCTCTAACAGTCTGTTAGTTTTCATCCTAGTTTTTGCGCACTGTTAACAATTCCGCTTCAGTTCGAACGATTCTAATAAAAAAGTAGCAATTTTACAAACATACAAATATTTGTATTATTTTTTATTTATCATCTAGGATTAAATACATTTAATTTAACACGCATTAAAAATTTGTCTTTGCTTGCAGTGTATAAAATAACACCCATTATTTTTAATATATTTTCTCTTTATTCAATAACAGGTTGCCCACATCAACAAATCCAATAGAAATAATCCATTCTAATATCTATAAACATTTTTTTAAATTATCGATGAAGCCAATATGCTTTCTGCCAAAATTGGTACGATTTGAAAAAATCGGGCGGCATACTTGATTTTCTAGCACCTCTAAAATAGAATGGTGGATAAAGTCCCCGCTAATGTCGGAGCAGGTCCCCGCTACTTAACGACCCTAGCTATCGGCAAGCGTTAGTGTTTTTTCCACATGTCAGTGCTCCAAATTTAAATAAATAACGGCTAAAACGATTTATTAATTGGCGCATTAAGGTATTGTTAAAAACAATTTTGTCAATATGCAATATAAATTGAAAGAAATTCTAATCGACTTAATGGTCCAAAAAGTTCATTTAAAACATACATACATATGGTTCGATAAAATGTTTTATTAAACGAAAATCTTTCAATACACAAAACGTTTAGTAAAATTCAGTAAAAACTGGTTGATCGATTGATTATAACATAGTTTTTGTAACCATTGACTAAACAATCATGTGTAAAGAAAATACAGAAATATATAGGTAATCATAAAATAAGACAAGATCTTATTTTATGTTGATAAGGTAACTTATATATGATCTTATAATCAATTGGTCAATGCTAGGGTTTTTCCCTGTGATGTCACATTTCATTATGATTAGGTGGATCACTTAAATCAAACAAGCTCACCCTTTTAAACTTTAGCTGGCCTGTGGGGCTCTCCTTATCACGCTGACCCATCGCCAATTGGGAGCAAGTGATTACGTATTGAGGTCCGGACATTATCTTGGCTTATCAGTCTAAAGCGAGACCATTCAGCAAATAAGGTAAATAAACCCGAAATCAAAAAAAAGGTCTACTTCAAAAAATGGGTCTTAACTTGAAGATTACTTTATATTACTTGTAATGCGTATACTCTATCGTTAAATTATGACTCGAGAATGTGGAGCCATTGAACCGGAGACTCAACGCTCCTGTGCGATTTACAAACTATAAAGTCTTAAAGGGCACTGAAAGAAATTATTTTACATACATTCCACATGCTTTTTTCAACTTAAGCCAACAACACATTCAAATAATATTAATGGGATATCTTTTTTCTTAGAAGAGAGTGAAGTTCGGTGGTACAAAGTGATACATTTTATGCACTTCAATTATTATTTTAATTTAGTCACGTTCTACTTGAACTCTATAAACTGTAACCACATTTTTTTCAGTGCCGTAATTAACGTTTTGTTAAGTTCTGTAACATTTTATTCCGACATTTATGTTTATTTTTCTCGCCGTTCTGAAAAACACTTTTCCACCGCCAGTTCAGTCGTTATCAAGTCGTCATTCGAAATGGTTCGATCGCACCCCCAAGACTAAGAGTTACAGATACTCGAACATTCAATCCATTCCGTCCACTGAGCTGGTCAAGAATAAAGTAAAAATAGTTCCACAGATTCTGTAAAGGCGATTTCAAAGGAAATATTTGCAACTCGAGTTGCATTATCAGAGGTGACAGATAACCTCCACCCTGTTACGTGGACTTGGACTCGAATCAGATAAGATCAGACATCATAAGGAAGCGGGAGAAAGCAGAATCCAGGCAGTCTTCAGTGCAGACCCTTAATCGTGCATAGACCCCAATTCAGTGAGTTATCTAACAATCAATATAGGCGAAATGTTCGCCCAAATTTTTAAAATGTAAACAGTGAGATGGGATGAATATTTATTAGAAGTAATTAAACTTTAATGTTCATATTTAAAATGATAAACCATATCGTAACCATTTAATCAAATGACTTTGTACAGTAATACAAAAAAAGGTGAATGCACACTTACGGGTGAACAACTTAAGTAAAAACAAAAACAGTAATACAAAATTTTACAAATATCTTCTTTATTGTAAAAAAATAAGAATTTATACGCATTTCGTTTATTATATTTTGCAAACGATTACGATTATGTATAATTACTTACTTTAAAACTATAAATATATATTATGTGGCTGATTTAGCATTGACACTTGTAGTATCTGTTTAATTTAAACAAGTTTAGCTCAAAGTAAAAAAAATGTTAACTTAGTTGTTAATATCTTTTCCTCCTTCAGGTCTACGCTAGCATGATAGGAAAGAATCGCATTTTGCGGACAAGTGCGTTGGGTTTTCTTTTGGCCACCTGCAGTCTGATTTCGTTGGTCTATATGGAACAAATCGAGCGGTGGATGATCGAGGGGTTTATGGTTCTCAGGCCGGGAACGATGATCAGTAGTCTGTGGGAGTCGCCCTCGATGGATATAACCGTAGATCTGTATATGTTCAATTGGACGAACTCTGAGAACGCCAGCGATCCCGGAGTGAAGCCGAGATTTGAGGAACTCGGACCTTATCGCTTCACGGAGCGGATGCAAAAGGTCAATGTGGAGTGGCACGATGAGAACTCAACGGTATCCTATATGCGACGCAGTCGGTTCGACTTCGATCCGAAACACAGTGCCGGACGTCCCTCGGATCCCATTGTGGCCCCCAACCTGCTCATCGTGGGCCTGTACCAGAAGATGCTCTCCTGGAGTCCCATGTTGCGATCCTTCATCATGATGACCCTAAGCATTTACGGCAAGGAGCGCACAATGGTTCACCCGGCCAGCGATTGGATGTTCGACGGATTCGACACGCCACTGATCAAAATGAGCAAAATAGTTCCGCCCAATCTCGTTCCGGAGATGAACTTCCCCTACGAGAAGATCGGATATGCTTATCCAGTGAGTCTTTCTTTAATCTCTAAAAAATGTTATGAGTTTACATCTTGCAAATGCAGTTACTAGTAAAACAAATAAATTATTTCAGCGCAATGGCAGCATGGAGATCTATGGCCACCACAATGTCTACACGGGACGAGATGAATTCAAGAAGCTGGGCCAAATAGCTCGGTGGCGATACAATAACGTGACAGAAGCCAGTCCCAGGTGCAAATTGAAGGGCAGTACTGGGGAGTTCCATCCAATCCCGCTGGTGAAGGGCAGAGCCATATCCTATTTCCTGCCCGATCTGTGCCGTGAGCTTCAGGTGGACTACTATGGGACCACCATATTCGAGGGAGTGGAGGCATTCGTGTACAAGGGTAGTGATCGCAATGTAGCAAATGGTGAGTCATTTATGGATAAATAGTATTGAAATATAAATATGTATTAAGAAATGTTTCGACAGCACATAATGTTAGGTTAATACAGTTGTTATTAAACTCCATGTATTAAAAAAATAATTTATTTTTACTACACCCTAAACACATTACTTAACACACTTTCCATTCCAGGTACTGACAACCCAGATAATAGTTGCTATTGCCAAGAGAACTGCCAGGAGGTGAGATCCGGTCTCTTGAATATATCCTCCTGCTGGTATGGAACACCAGTCTTTGCTTCCTATCCGCACTTTTATCAAGCCGATCCCTACTACGCGGATCAGGTGGAGGGCATGAAGCCGGACAAGGATCGCCACGAGATGGTCATCATGTTGGAGCCCAAGACCGGAATGGTGTTGGAAATCAAGGCTCGTCTTATGGCCACTTTGTTAGTCGAGCCCAGAACCCAATCGTAAGTAGACTATAACTTATTTGGTCAAAATAGTTATAATAATAATCAAACCGTTTCTAAAAGATGTATGATTTTTGAAACCACTGCATTACTTGCAGTTTAAAGCTTACTTTTAGCTTACCATAAAGATGAACAAGGAAGCCTTAAAGTAAAATATATATCATATCAGCACAATCTAATTTGTTTGTACATTTTGTTAATTTGATTACAGTATATAAAGTATGCAGATTAATCTTCAACATTTATATTTTCAGGATCTACCACAATGCTCAGAAGAGGTTTTTCCCGCTGATCTGGGCGGATTATAACGTGCGGATCACAGACGATCTTCTGGGCTACGTAAAGTTAATACCGATCATGGAGTTACTGGGCAAGATCAGTGGAATTGCAAGCGTGATTGTGGGCGTGGTGATGATCTTCTGGTATCCCCACCAGTTGATATGGCAGAAGCGCTTCATGCAGAAGATTGAGATCAATAGCCAGGAGGCGACCATGATGACAGATCCGGTGAAAAACAATGGGGTGGAGGAGTCCCCTCTACTAATTGGATTGCAATATACGGTGTCCAAGGGAGGGACGGGAAATCCCCATTGAAGGTCCTACATTTACTAAGCGTAGTAGTATGGTAGCATTAAGTTTGCAGGGTTTTTTCTTGCCTAGTCTACAGTCTAAGCCAATAAATGGTAAAAGGTGTTCAAATACTGGACGTTTGAGAAACATCGAATTTATAGATTATTTGTTATTCGTTTTTTTACTGCTGTTGATTCGGGATTGTCGGTTGCCGTTTCTTATCACACTGAATCATACATAATATGAATATAAAATAAGTCCCCAAGGGAAAAAAAATCACACACACACTCATTACTGATAAATAATTGTGTGGAAATAATAACACATACATATATACACACATATGTAAGAATCAGATAATATCAGCATTGAACCTCGAATTATGCACTTATGAATGTTGAACCGATTCGGAACCGATTCAAGAAAATGTTTGCACCACAAAAGAGCCAAACCGGTTTGGTGGGCAAAATGAGAGGTAGAGAGTGACAGAGACTGAAAGAGAGCGCGAGAGAAAGAAATCTGATTATACCCTACAAATAATATCTATTCGTTGTATGCATGTAGAAAAACCTTTATAAAATATAATATTATTTTCATATTCCATGAGTTAAGTTGCAATTTCCGACTTAACGCAGCTGGTAACACTGTTTTCTAAATCTACCACACTCGTGCAAAGGGTATCCGACAGTCACCGCAGCGGACAGTGCATAGGCCTTAATGAAGAATAAATAATTGCTGCTCGGCGGCGACTCTTTGGAAAATACTTATTTAGTCGCAGGCGCAGCGCCGCTCAGACATGTTGGCTCTCATTTGCGCGCGTTAGTTCAAGATCACTAATAAACGGTGCGTCGCTGCCCCCTGGAAACACAGCGAGTGGGAGCGAGACGGCGAATGCCAAGAAATAGACGCGTGCAGAGAAACGTTTTAATACATTTATTTAGACAATATTTACACCGCCGCTGCAATTAAAATTGATAGCAATTAAAAAGTATTTGAAAGAAAAATTAAACGTGTCGTGAAGTGCAAGTGGGAAAAGTTTTAAAAAATCAAATTATTTTAAAAACAACTAAAAGAAAATGTAAGAAAATTTATGAAAAATAAGAGAGAGAGTGAAGAAAGAGACAGGGAGCGCCAAAACGAGAGAGTTAAACGTGCCGATTTTGTCTTTTTCTTAGTGCTCTCTGGTTCCTCTTTAGATAATTTTTTAAGCAAACACAAAAAGAGCCACATAATAGTTCTTAACTTTTTGCGGATAAGGAGTTTGCATATCAAAAAACTGTGACGCATTGCGATGAAATGGCAAAAATGGCAAAACGATCGAATGCAAATTACTCCCGCGCAGCGAATTATGTATATTTTTTGTTGGCACATTGCACTGTGTTGCGGGTTATTTTTAGGCTAAAAGAGCAAATAAGGCAGAATGATGAATAACACATAGAAATAACATTGTCAACAGGTTGCGGAAGTGACGGCCAAGGTTCAAGGATAAACCGAGTGTTAAAATTTCATGTGTTCATTAAAGTACACAATAGAATGCGAAATTCGCGTGATTATTGATATTTGAACAAATGATTGAGCAGTATGAGAAGTTCACAATCTGGTGTAGTAAACCGCAAAATAATCAGAGCGCAAGAGCGGGCGGAAGGGGGTGGGCGTGGCATTACTGTAGATAAAGAAAAAAACCACATTAAAAACGGCGCTGAACGGGTTTTTCTCTTAACCTCGCTACGTGTGCATTACTAAAAAAATATATATATCATCGGACGCAGTACGTGTGTGCTATAATGTAAATAAATACAAAAAATCGTTGAGTTATCGCCAATAATGGCAGTAACTAAGGCCAAAAAGCCCCTCAGCCAGCGGTTGCTAACCAGCCCCAAGAAGTGTAAACAATATTCACTACAACGCCCCCACATCCCGCCCTTGCGCACTACGTTTTTATGGTTGTGTCAGGGTATGGAAAATGAAATGTGGAATATGTAAAGGCAAACGTGTTTTTAATCCAGTCAGCTCTTCGGTCGCGAATCAAAACAAATAATACTCGAGGAATGTGCCGCAATGAATCACAGACTTTCCAAAAAAAAAACATTAATTAAAGTTTGGAGTCAGCATACGGAAAAAAAAAAGTGAATTCATTGTACTAAAATTCATAGTCAGCAAACAGGGAATACCTCATTATAAGTACAGTTATAGGGGTGCATTTTTTTCAATATCATTCAAAATTCAATAGTAGTGCCTTATCTGGGCATATAGTGTCTACCAAGTAGTAATTCTAGTCAAAAATGCACTAATCTGATGGCTTATATCACAAAGCACTTTTATGTTCTAGTACTGACCTAATTCAGTTTCTTTTGCTAAAAAGGTCATGTAAGACTTAACATTCCAAAGAGATTATGTCAGACGTGTAAATAAAACTTAGTGACTAAGCGTGGCCAATCAGTGTTCTATATACATATAACAATAAACCATAGTCTGAATTTAGATTCCGTGAATTGATAGCTCTAACTTCATGCTCTAGCAGCACCTGATGTAATTTCTGAATTGAAGTGAATAACTTTTTTATTTATGTCAGCCCTTAGGACCGGTTTAGACCTACCCCCAAAAACAACAGCTTACATACATGTACACTTAATCACTTATTTCGTTAATTTTCTGTGTACACCATACAGTCATACATCTTTAACATGTATATTATAGTCCCTTAAATTGTATTTCCAATTGTTATGCATAAGTTTTTTGGTCTTCTAAAAAATAATGTCAGAAATCTAGCTTTTATTATTAAATGCTGCTTAAAATATATGAACAACTAAGCAATCAAATAGTATTATTAAAAATGCTCCTCACGAATTTCATATTAACGCCTAATCAGATCTTTTTATTTAAATTATTACCAAAAACTTTTTGGTAATTAAAAAGAAAAGATTATATTTGAAAATTATTTGTCAAAAAAGGAGAAATGAAGCAATATAACTATAGTCTCAACAATGATTTGAAATATTTAAAATTTTTTTTGGTGTCTTAAATTTTTTACAGTTTTATTTTAGCTGGGTGTTTTTTACATGTGTACATATGTACATAGGCATATGACACTTGTAGGTTTTCTTTTTAGTATGTACATATGTAAATATTTAGTTGTTGTTTTGCCGAGTGCCAAGTGAAAACTTTATAACAATTAGACAAAAAATGTTTATAATTACGTCGCAACTTATCTTTGTGATCGCTGTTTATGCGACGCCGCGTGATCATTGACCGCTCTCTACGACTCTCTTTCTTTCTCAGTAATACTCAGCCCGGAATTTTGCGATCCTCGAAATTGTGATAAGACTGTACAGTAGTCTCTCAGCCAGCGATAAGCCCGCATGTCTCACACTTACTCTCTCTTCTTTTTTTTTTTATATAGACGCTAATAACGGGAACGTAGAGGGCTACACTCAGTGCGACGCAAGATATCGGTCGAGGAAGACGCCCCTTTATATAGAACATCGATTACAGCACCAAGATCAAAACGCGGATACATCAAGATGACATCACGGGTGCGTCATTGTGCCCGTCTAGGGATCGTCGTTCTTGGCATCTTCTGCATTGTCAGTGGGATTTACCTATTCCGGAATTGGATCGAAATGTTTACACGCATGCGCGGCAAGGTTAGTACTGCCATCTATCAATATATGCAATCGGTTCGATCCTATCTTATCGGGTTCAATGGCAATCAATTCTCAGACCTTTGAGTTAAGTTTCGCAATCCGGCAAATTGGCAAAATGTTCAAAGGTCAACTGAGAGGGGCTCATTTACATACCATTTGGATCGGCAGGAACCCATTTCTTTCACTGATTGAAAGCAATTGAACGAAAAAAGACACCAATCATTGAGTGTGTGCAGGTGTTCAAATAATACAAATTACCCCAAGACAGAATCAGATAAGATATGACTAAATCTAGATTTGAACCAATCCCTTATGGAGAGCGTAATACAATACACTTTAAAGATCCCATTAGGATTGCCTATACTTTTGAATGTGCTTTTAATTAGCATGTTAATGCTATCGTTGAGTTTACTCTCTATATGTAGAGAGCTTAGTCACGGGAGTTAGGGCTCTTATTGAAAAACATTCCACTTTAACTTTAGAGCAATGAACTAAGAGCGTGGAACCTTGTTAAAACATATATATGTATTTTTAGTTCGCTTGAACACATATCTTAAATATATAATGAAATGGAAACTTTATAATGAGGGGTTAAGTTTAAAGAGTATAAGCTACTTATCGTTACAGTTATAGAACATATTTTTATCAATGATCTATAAAAAGTAAGTTTCGTAAACATGATTGCTAAATTTGTTGAGAATACAAGTAAACATGAAAGAAAGGCAATTCTTCCAAAATAATCATCAATCAAAATTAATCAATTCGATAATTTTTGGTATGGCCAGGTGTCTTTTGACTCACTAAAGTTTCGATCCCTTTTTTTTGCAAACCGACTAATAATAGTTAGTGAATAATTGACTTTATCAAACAAGTCGATTTATTGGTAGTCGGAAATGCCTACAAAAATTCTTGCTTTTGAAGTTCAGGTTGCGGCCACGAAATTGCAATGGGGTTTTGCTATCTTATCTTGGACAAAACCTGAAAAATAACCCATTTACCGATAGCCATGTGTTCGATTAGACAACGCTCTTCACTTCCATGCAAACATATATGTATGTATGAATATATGGCAAAACATTCATAAATGGCCTTAATCATCTTTACCGGACATGTAACCACAATTTGTCCGGGTGTGATGACTCTGACCGAACACCTGTGTTCTACTCCGATTTCGATGGTAATCCTGGCAGGCACGCGTAATCCATTAGAATTTTAAAGGGCTTGAATTGCTATGAGTCCAATTCGAGTTCCTTTTATCAGTTTAGTCATTTCCTGTAGCCCCGTCGCATTTTCAATTATATAGATTATAGGGTTCTGGGCAATATAAAATGGTGGCCCACAGGTTTACGATCCAGACAATCGTTAAGTCTGTCATTCTGGCTTACAATGATTGATGGCTGATAGCACTCATCCAACGAATGCATGTAATCGCACTATAACACTTGTGTTTTTTGCGGAGGTAGAACCATACAAAGTAGCGGAATAATACGATTTGCCAAAATATGTAGAAACAATATTTATTTACCTTAGGACAATAGCTTCGTATTCAAGCTTATTGCAAGAAAAAAATTCTTTAAAGTTCCTAGAATATTTTGTTTATCAATTGATAAGTTCCTAGTCACTATGAACGCTTAAATTTTAAAATATTCTACCACATATTAAATATTATATTTAGGAACGTTTTGACATTATTTTAACGATGTTTAGTGCAAAAACGTCAATATGATCTTATCGCCTTATTGAAAATAGTAAATAACAGCGCTCTTTGATGTGTTCCGTATCAATTATAAAACCTCAAACGGGTACCAATTGCTTAGATCAATCTGTAACTTTGATGTGTTTTGCAATATGCACATTGTTCGTATATTCAATGTGCTATTTTTTTGCAACGAATTCGATGCTTAATTGCTATAGCAATTTAGCAACAAGTTATCCCCAATTATAACAGACAAATTATGTAAATCGTTTACTATTGAATATTGATCGTCAATTATCAATTGTGTCAAGCTTATTCTCAATGAATTATTTTGTTATTTTAGGAAATGGCCTTAGGCCCCACATCACGATCATTCGATGGTTGGAAGGTCTCTCCCCTGCCGCTTAATTTTGATGTCTACCTCTTCAACTGGACGAATCCGGAGGATTTCTATGTGGGATCTAGTAAAAAGCCCCGCTTTGAGCAACTGGGACCGTACCGGTTTCGAGAGCAGCCCGACAAAGTGGACATAGATTGGCACAATCAAAATTATTCCGTGTCGTTCCATAAAAAGTCCTGGTTCTATTTCGATGCTGCCGGCAGCAACGGAAGTTTGTCGGATATTGTCACCCAAGTCAACAGCGTTGCTCATGTAAGTTTCCAAAAAACCAGTACCACTTCTCTAACTAGGGATTAAGGAAAACAAAATATATATTTTTAACTTTTATAAGTATTTAAAAGTATTTATAGTTAATCGTATGTTAGAAGATTTGGCTGTTTAATTTGAATTATAACAAAATTTGTTATAAACGATTTTACAATCAAATTATCGTGATATACTGTTTTGTTTCTTGAAAAGTTAAAAATACTATTAGCCAAACACATGGTTAGAGAAGATAGAATAAATTCTTTACTGAAATATATATAAATATATTTTTTTCCACAGGCTGCTGCTAAACGTGCCGCTGACAACTGGGTGGGCAGAAACGTTGTTAACTTTGCCAATAAGTTGTTAAGCCAAAGAGTTTCCGTCACGAAAACAGTGGACGAAATGCTCTTCAAGGGATACGAGCACCCAATCGTCAATTTCGGAAAGCTGGTGACGCCCCAAGAGGTGCCTTTCAAACGAATAGGCTTCCAGTACGGTCGAAATGGCAGTGTCGACTTCGATGGACACATAAACATGTTCACAGGAGCCGATGATATTGCCAAAATGGGTCAGATCCACACGTGGAATAACCTGACACACACTGGAGCCTTTGAAGGCACCTGCGGGCAGGTGCGGGGCTCTATGGGTGAATTCTTTCCACCCAACTTAAATACCAACGGCAGCGTTTACATGTACATGCCCAAGATGTGTCGCGCCATACCGCTGGATTACACAGAAACGGTTACCGTTCACGGAGTTACCGCCTACAAGTTCAGCGGCACGGAGCATGCCGTCGACAATGGCACTAAGTTCCCGGAGACGAGCTGTTATTGTGTCGGCGGCAAGTGTATGCCCAGCGGAGTGATCAATATCGGACCCTGCGCCTTTAACGCGTCCGTCTACATGTCCTTCCCCCACTTCTACATGGCGGATCCCAGCTTTCTGGAGGCCATCGAAGGTCTGCAACCGGACCGTGAGAAGCACGAGTTCTTCATGACCCTGGAGCCCAATGCAGGCGTACCCATGGATGTGGGCGGTGGCTTTCAGGCCAACTACTACATGGAGCCCGTTCCGCAGATAACGTAAGTAACTAATCATTTAATGAACGAATCAGATTTTTTACATCATATGGTCGTATTTTTCAAGAAATGTATTCGGTTTCAAGTTATTTATATAAGTATCAAATAGCTTTAAATTTGTATTTTACTTAAATGCATTTTTATTCCCTTGTATATGTGAATATGTGATTACGTTTTTGAAATTTTTTGCTGAAACTAATACTTTTTATTGTTGCAGCCTGTACGAGAATGTCCCACGGGTGATGATTCCCATGATGTGGGCCGAGGAACGAGTCCGCGTCTCAGAAGAAATCGCTGCGGATATCGCGCTGGTTCCCCTATTTGTCCTGCTAGGACAGATCGTGACCGGCATTCTGCTGGCAGGCGGTCTGATCTGCACCTGTTGGTATCCCACGCGAAAGGTGACGCACTTCTGCCACAGCGATCCCAAAGCCAAGGCCAACGTTCTGCGTCCTCTCACCGCATTTGGTGTAAATTCAGCGGCAGTCACGGCTCCGGTGGCCCAGCTATTCCGCAACAATACTAGTTCGGCGGGCAACGATCGCGTAGGAGTGCGGCTGCTGGAGTACAATCGCGGTTCCGGAGTAAGGGGCGAGAGCGGTATAACAGAGAGCTCGCCCAGGGAACGACTCATCAGCGAGGACTCGCCAGATGTTATAGTTAGATAATACATGCGTTGGCATCAAGCCTTTCTGACGGTGCCTCCGACGATCATCTGCCTAAGACTCATTTATGTCGCCGTAGCTTAGGATAGCAAAAAGTGATGAAGCCATTCTGCCTTAGCCAGGCTCACAGAGGCTGGACCTAGTTGCTCACCAAGGAAACCGATTCGGATCACATCACATACCGCATTACCACGCTCACCCACCCGCATAAAGAGTTCCCTCAAGACATCTGCATGCTCTGTAGATAACGAGAGAGATTAATAAGATTATTTATTTTAGTGCCAAAAAAACAGAGGAAACGTTACTAAAAGTCACTAGCTTTTTAGTAGGCTAAACATTTCTGTAAATAGAGTCTTTAAGCGCCACATTCATTTCCCTAAATTGTTGAAGTTAAAACTGCGCATGCCCAAAGTATTTATATTTATATGCTAATGCCTAACTTTTGTAATTTTTAAAGCGATATTTCAGTTTTTATTCAAGTTGAGATGAAGTGATAAAGAAAACATTTTGAAAATAACATTGGGAGCGAGAATTTTTCACCTTTGCTCATTTAGATAGGCAATCTTTGTTTTAAGTCTTGTACAAATAACACTAACACTGCAAAGATTTCGCATATCCTATTTACATATGTCAATCAATGTAAGATCCAAATACCTAGATTATAGAGCACAGCTGTGAAATCCCCGGAAATATTTCCAAAAATTCCTTAAGATAAATTTAAAGAAAAGAATAAATACATAAAATCAAGTAAAGAAGGTTGGACTTTTAATAAATTCAATGACATATGTGTTCCAAACATATCTTGATATAAAATTTAAATTACTGATGAGTATGAAGTAAACTAAAAAATCCATTTAAATTTGGGTTTGCAAATATTTGTTGATATCAACAAAAATAGTTTGAAAGCAAAATAAACACAAAATAATGCAGGATTTTTGCTTATAAATCTTTTTAAATTAAATTCTTAAGATCTCTGAATTTTGATTGAAAAAAAAATTGAGTTAAAATAAATAAATAAATATAGTAAATAAAACTGTTAACAATTTTTTTTTAAGAAAACACGGCATCTAAGGCTATTTCCAAAAATGTAATTCAAAAGCAGAGAATAAAGCAATCAATTTATTAAAGTAAAACCTTTAATAACACCCATTTTTAAATTCATAAAATGATTATAAAAACTATTTATTGTTAACTCCATTTGACAATTGTACCTGTTTCAAAAACACATTAAACACTATTATATCCGCTGAAGCCAGCTGGATAGAGCCCAAAAGCAAAGACTGACGAAACTAAAGCCGAACAGCGATTTGAAGGTGCTGGCTCCGCTGCCCGAATTTCCCAAATCCAATTGCGAGGCCAGCTCCTCCGGCACGTCGAGGTAGACTTTCTCCACCCCAAATCCGAAGATCAACTGGCGCAGCCTATCCACATCCACATAGTCGCCGGCGGATGACCAGATGGTCAGGGTGCTCTCGTTTGTCTCGTTCACCGCGGCAACCAGTCGATGCAGTTGCTCCTGGCTGTTAGCGGCGATTCCAGCGCGCACGGGAAAGGTGATAGCCTGACCGGTGGACAGGACATTGTTGACGGTCAGTGATTCCAGCATGGCATCGCATTGATCCTGTGTGTACTCGCCATCTCGGAAGTCAGCGCCCCAATTTGTTGTCCAGCCAATGGAGAGCGCCGCCTGCTTATAGCGCATGCAGCCGGCAAAGAAGCGGTCCGCATCCACGGGCACGGTTTTGTTCTGTTCCACGGGTCCACTCAGGATGTCGGCGTTTATCCAGACAGGATATCCTATCATCTGCAAAACGGGGTAAATTTTAATATATTTTTGAGTTAATAACAAAAAAACCATACTACCAAAATATATTTAGATTAGCACTACTTTTTATATATTATAAAAAGAGGTTAAAACTCTTATGAAATGTGTTTTTTATTTAATTGCTATTTAATATCTCACGAAAAGTCTTTAAAAAACCCTATTTTTTAGTTATTTTGTTCTTTTGGATGAGAATAAAATAGGAAATAAATTTTATTCAAACCTTTTCTGAAATCTTTAGCTTAATAAATTTCAAAGTTTTTTTAAAGTGAAATAATAAATTGACCTTTAGGAGTATATATGCAAATTTATAAGTGTTAGTTTATACAACTAATGTAAATAAAACAATGTCCCGTAATTTTAAAAGTAATGCTCCCCAACTCACGCTGGGAATATTCTCGTCCAGGATGTCCAGGGAGCCCTCGAAGACCTCGATCGACTTAAAGTCGAGCTTGACGCCCTTTTCCTGTCCCTCGTGATCCCTGTTGAATTCCATGATCTGATAAAGGAACTCTGCCAGCGTGAGATCCGAAATAATGGCCGGCGGATGGGCCATTACGGGCATATCCTCGCCCTCGCCATTTAGTTTGCCCAGAACAATGTCCGCCTCGATAAAGTCGATGTTACCTTTTGAAATTTAAGTCTCTTGTAAAATGTGTATAAACGGATATGTGTTAAAGCGAAATCTCACCTGTTTCGGTTAGCACTTCGTCCAGTAGTTGTTGACTGTTGACCGCATGGGCCCAGGTTATTGCGGTCAGATTTGTGCCCCATACCTTCACCATATCCGAATCTTTGAGGAATATTTCCACGATCTGAGGATCCGCTGGCGTTCTTTGCTCCACCACTTGGTACTGATAATTGCTGGCGTTTAGAGCAGCCCCATTGATTTTGGCCACGAGCACTGCGAATGGGCAAATAATACGGCATTAATATTCCATAATTGAACAATGGGACGCACAGAGGGCATAATATGGCAGATAGATAAGCTTCCTTACCTTACCTATTATTCACACGCAGACAGAAACAATAAAATATCAATTTGTTTACTTCCCAGTGGGCGAGTGTGCGTGAATGGAGGGAAATTAATTCTAATTGTTATGGTTATTTTTATGGAATGCGCTCAGTTCTGCTCTCCTCCACTTTCACCGAATGCTGTAATGGAACTGCACAACAATGCTTTGCTGCAATCTGTCAGCGGTTCCAAGGCGCAAACGCAGAGAGGATAACAGAAATGAGAATAACGAGAAGAGAAACTAAGTCCCAAAAACCGAGGACTATATACTCTTACAAGTTATTTAGCCAGTTATCTTGTTAATGTGCTGCTTTATTCTAAACTCAATGATAATTCAATGAACTCAAAACTAATCAAATTGTTAATTTTTTAGGTCATATTTGATATATATATTTTCTAAGTTGTAGGTCATTTTTAAAAGGTCTAGGGAATGTAACATCCGATTTTGCAAATATGGAGAACCATTCTGATTTCAGTCACCGATTTTGATTATCTTTAAAAGATGTTTTTCAAAAAGTTTTAAAAATCTCATCTCTATAAATATGTCATCAAACACAGTTTGTATGGGAGCTTGGGATAAACATATAACTTTGTGTTTATTAAGATTTAACCGATTTGAATAAATAGTATAAGTAAATCCATTTTCTCTTTATAATTATGTATTTTTAAAGCATAAAAATTTGATCCAAAAGTTTTCTCAACAATATGTTGATGTCGATTAAAATTAGAAATTTATTGTTTCTAGGGATAGAAATATATATCACTCATTTTGAAACTTTTAAATCAATTTATGTATACTATAGTACCCTGCTCTAAAAGGGTATAATAACGAGAGCCAGATGAAGTGAGGCGCGAAACGGTGAGAATTCAAATAGCTGATTGCGTTACCAAGTAGTAGTAGTGGCATCAGTAGAGCAGAATTCGTTGAACCCCCGCTTCTGGAGGACTCAGTGAACTTAAAGAACTTGAACAACATATTGGCACCGCGGTTAGATAAGAACTAAATTGACCGTTGGGAAACTAAACGTGTTGGGTTTGCACTCACGCCTATCGATGGATTTTGCTGATTTGATTAAACTTTGATTAAGCATTGTATATAAGTCTTGATATTTAGCCTGTTGTAAAATCTAATCGTATAAGTGGGATCTTTATCCGCCTCAGTGGGGAAAACTTTTCCTGAAATATGCTAATAGTATCTAGGAGTAGTTTTAAAACGTCGTTTCCAGGGTTTTTAAATTTTTCGTTATAATTTCGGACAGTTGTTTTTGCCTTTTTTAAATTTAATTAAAAATCGAAGTTGCTTGTATTTATCTTTACGATCATAACGGAAAGGGGCGAGGGCAGTGGTGGGAGGTTTGGTGTTAGCTTCCCGCCCACCTCACTCATGTTAAAACTGATAGAAAATGAGGTATTTAAAAAGTATGCTACAAGAAATTAAGATTCTCGCTTACCTCAAATCCCTCAAAACAATATTACATTACATTTTTAGACTGTTTAAATTCAAAACACTTATAGTTTTAAAAAGTAAACTAAAAACTAAAATTCAATAGTTTTTCTTAGAATTTTTAAAAAAATCATCAGTTTAACTGTTAAAAGTACGATAAAAGTTAAAAATATTGAAAAGGAAGTCCGGCAATAACAGAAAAACATTTTGAGTTTAGGTTTTATCGATAAAAACGGCTGATTTCTGTTAAGCTTTACAGACCATATGGTTGCTTAAGAGGAGTTAACTACAGTTCGAACTTTCAAGCAAAAACAACCCTGTCTGTGAAAGTTCGAATTTTCTCTTAATTTGTATCAACACTTTGGCGCGCATTTTGATTCTGTTTCTTCGTTTCGTTTTTCAGATAATGAGATTATCATTATTATTTATTTTCATATTTTCAGAAAGTTGAGGATTGTCAATAAAAAAACTGTAATTTCATTATTGAAAAAGTTAATTTTAAATTGTATTACCTTTAATTTAATCCATTGAGCTCTGTAATAGTTTTAAAAAACTGTAGCAGAAACTGCGCACTTAAAAAGTGATTTCTAAAAAAAAGTGTAAGATTTAGAAACCTTTCTGTGCTTAAAATGTTATACAGATTATTTACCCCACCTCATATTTTTAAGAAAGAGGATTGTTTATAAATTTGTTACCAGAATTACATTTGGTTGTTACTTTTGTTCCTGTAGATTGTAAACAAATAAATATTTGATATGATAAACGAACTTTTAGGACTCGAAATGGTTAACAGCGGTATAAAGATCAAGTTAAGAGTGTTTCTGGCTAAGAGAATTGTAGGGGAGTATTTCTCGTTCGCGACAAAGAGAATTTAAGCACGCCATTCGAAACTAACTCGAAGTACTCTCAAGTTTCGAAGTCGAAATCGGCCGGCAGTGTTTCGAGACTTTCGAATGTATCTGTATCTCCTCTATCGTTTTTTCGCTCTCGAACCGTTCGGACGTGCGCGTAAGCGTGTCGTTTTTATTCGTGGCGAATAAAAATATCGAGGAAAAAGCTCGCACGTGCGACGCTTGCAAAAAAAAAAATATAAGAAATTTATATATATTACTACAAGTGCGGAATCCAAATAAATATTCAATAACGAGTGCAAAAATTATTGGCAAGCGCAAAAAAGATTTATAAATAGTGCAACAACAACAACAGCACAATAAAAGAATTTGTCAGGCGGCGTTTGTTTTTGTTCTCTCTCCCTCTCTCTCACTCTCTCGCTCGCTCGCTCTCGCTGTCTCTTTTTATCATTCGTCTGCCGGCCTTCGTTGCGCGTGTGTGCGTGTGTCTCCGCATCCGTATATCCGTGCGTGTGTCCGTGCGTGCGTTTGTGTGTGTGTGTGCAGCGCAAAGATAAAAAAGTTGAGAAATTGAGATATACGAAATGAAATACAAAAATTCAACTTAAGAAATGGCGCCGAAGAGAAATTAATTTATGGCGAAAATTTAATAAGTGCAGGGCATAAAAAAAAAAGTGCGCACAAGTTTTCACCCAGCCGACAAAAGCCGGCCGATATATATATTTCTATAAATACAACTTAAATAATATCGAAATATTCTAAACACGCGACAAAATAAAGAAAGAAAGAAAAATCCTGTGTGTGTGTTTGAGTGTGCTAAAATGCCGTCGGCAAAATGCTAAATGCGAATGCAACAAAATTAGTTAAACTAGCTGACAAATCAAACAAAAACCAATCAACAAATGTGCCAAATTGTTAAGTGGAAGTCCAGTAATTAGACAGATTGGACTATTAGCATAACAAACAAAAGATAAAAGTACATAAGATATGGATCCCAATCGTAGCTCTTTAAAAAATATTTAGAGGACAAGAAAACACATGTAGAGGTTATTCAAAGACCTTCTTTGATCTTATAGAATCGACTATCACATAATTCAAAGTTACTCCCAAATCACGAAGCTATATTCATTAAACATCAAGAGGGTCACAATCGGAAACTGGTAAAAATGGATTACTAGCAAGAGCCGAAACTTGGTTATCTAAAATATTGCCCAAAAATGACCGAATACGTGACGCCCTTGATTAGCACCGTCTTGAAGAAATACCAGACGAGTGCCACGAAATCGCTTCAGGGCCCAGGACACACCCTAACATCCGCCGGTGTCCTGGATATTGCCACCAACGGAAGAAGTGAGAGTCCTGGCTTGGGCTTGTCCAATGGAAAATGCCAAGCCTCGTCGCCAAATGTTGCTCTAATAAAAAAGGAAATACTCAGTTCACCAGAGCCCCAGGACCTCCATCATGAATGCTCATCGAGGGGCACGCCCCCACAGATATATCCACCCGCCACGCCTTCCAGGGAACTCTCACAACCGATCCTATCGGTAGCCGATTCGGGATGTGGAAAACTGTACGAGACGAAGTTGGAGGGAAAAACCATTGGATGCTTTTCCGTGGGCGGTGAAATGAGACTTTGCCTGCCCCAGTTTCTCAACAATGTTCTCAATGATTTTTCGCTGGAACAGATCAACAGGATCTTCGATGAACTGGGCATCTACTGTTCACAGTGCACGCCCGATCAGCTGGTGGAATTCAAGGCCGCCGAGATCCTGCCATCGGATGTTAAGGCCAGCGGCTTGATCACCCGCACCGATGCGGAGCGTCTCTGTGCGGCTCTACTCCATCGCTCGGACCGGAATAGCTATGTCCCGATCGAGAGTTTGCCCAAGGGGGCACTGAGTTTCCACGTCTATCACAAGTGCTTTGGCAAATGCGAGGGCATCTGCACACCCGACATGTACTCACACCAGAAGCCGACCTGCATCAAGTGCCTGGAGTGCGACGGCTGGTTCTCGCCACAGAAATTCGTGGGTCATGTGCATCGCAAGTTCGAGAATCAGACATGTCACTGGGGCTTCGATTCGCGCAACTGGCACGATTATCTTCATGTGGCGCTGAATGTGGAGAACCGGGAGAAGTACCAGATCGTCCTGGATGAGCTGAAGGAGGTGGAGATCAAGGAGATGCACAAAGAGATGCACAAGGCGCAATGGGAATTGGATCACAAAAAAAGAAAGGTGAGTTTCAAGTTATAGGACGAGCTTGGGGTATTCCCTTGCCATCTTTGACTGGACAAAAACATTTTAAAAATTACATTTTGTGATCACGTTTTTCGACTATTTAAAGTTTGCTTGGAATCGGAGTTCAGAATATGGTTTCAGTATGTATTATCCGAGGTCTAGTAATATTGGTAATATATATTTCAAGTGGACTTTAGAATTGAGGATCTTAAAAAATAAAAGATTATTGAATAAAGATGATTGCCTTATTATACATATATCCTTTCTTTTATAATCTTTTCTTTGCTTATTTTTTAATTATAAATGGGAATTTTCATTCTCCCTTTTTCTACCGGTTATTACAAAATTAGCTCAATCGACCAGTGCTATTGTTGTAAATATAATACTCACCTTGTTGGGCAGGTCAACAATTTCTCAGAACGAAGGGGATTATTAACTCGATAATCTCCCCGCCTTTCGTTTGCTCAATTATTTTCTCTCCCCCACTTTTGTGCACACACATTCCCCCAGCTCTGATCTTAATATTAATTATGCATATGAACGCCCCACGCCACAGCAACAAATACGAGAATAGCAAAAATTTCGGCGGCGACTACCGCAGTTCCATATTTGGACGACGCCGTCGACTTCCATTCACATTCAATTCGATCTTCTTTAACGACACTTTGTGTTTGCTGTTCAAAAGAAATTAAAAAAAAAACTGCAAAAACGCTATGCGGAGAATAATGCAAAAATATGAAAACGAATTTCACCGCGAGCCGTTTATAATGAATTCATAATTATTATAATTTCAATGAAGCTGCAGTTTATGGCGCTGGTTTGGTGGTTGGGGTGTAAAACATTTTTTTTTAGGCTAGGCCACTTTTTTTGTGATTATTTATTTAAACTACTTAATTTTATGCTTAAACAGCGCTAGCGAAATATTTTCACGCAAAAAAAAACAATAAATAATAAATTTTTCCGCTGTACAATTTTTGTCTCTTTTTTGGATATGTTTGTTGTTAAAAATTGTTGTAGCTGCCGCTGCATTTTGCGGTTGCCAAAGCGTCTGCCGCATTTCGGCATGTTTGCCGCCGAGGCAGCGCAGCAACGAATGGAGCTTATTTTTAGCTTTTCGCTCAATTTATTTGCTGCCCCGTTTGCGCCTTGTTTGGAGCCTGCGGCCAAAAGGCTTTCGATTTTACAGTCGCTAGGTGTGTACCCTTAAAGGGTATTTTGGAATGGGAAAGAGGTGAAGAAGAAGAAGTATATATTCCTTTAGTAATATTACGCATTAGAACTTCAATCTCTAAAAATTCTTTTCTAGTATTCGCCTGTAAGTTATATTTGAATTTGGTTTTTTTATATTTTTTCATATTTAATGGCATTTGCTGTAGTTTGATCGTCCCGAAAATTATAGGGACTTCTTTTATAGTAGTATATAGATAGATTTAATTAATTTTGATGTTATTTTTATAACAATTTTTGTTGTTGTTTTTTCCAGCATTATATTTTGAAGTATTAAGTTTCCAGTCCTTTTTTGTGTTGAAGGGTATTTTAGACTGCGGCACCCTTGCGTTCCTTTTGTATTTATTTTTATTCTTCGATTAACTGGTGTGTGTGCCATGAAAATCCGCTTTGACCAGCTTCAATGTTAAATATTCAGCAAATAATAATAATGAGCCAGGGCGAGCGAGACAGGGCGACGGTGCGAGCGGGATGGGTGGATAAAGGGGGTGGGGATCAGGGCGAGGGGGTAGCAACAAAAATAAATCGCAAACCGGTTGGCAACATTGTCTGCTGTGAAGTCTCTGTACTTTGCTCGGGGTTTCGTTTTGGCTTTGGTCTGGGCCCTCGTCTCGTTATGGGATGTGGATGTGTTGTCCGTCTGGCAAAGTGGGATCCAATCGGATCGGTCGTATTGGATCGTATCTGAGCGGTGCCCATGGAATCCCTGCAGCGGGAACGGGAACGGGAATGGAAGTGGAAACTGAAGTCAAAGTCGCAGAAATAACAAAACAAACGGCTTGCGGCATATTTGTTGCGCAAAAAAAAGAAGAACTCAAAAGAGAGAAAATATGAACACAAAAAGAATATTTAAGGTAAGGAGAACAGAATTATATAATAACAAGAAATCGAAGGGGGAGTATATATAATTCTTCTTCTTCATAAAATGAAAAGTTTTTTAATTTTGATCTAAGAGGTTAGGCATCATTTACCTCAATACTGTTATTACCTTTAATCATGTCTCAGGCCAAACCCTTTCTTCCTAATTGAAATACACAATAAATATACGATTCAGAAGTAATACAAAATAGAAAGGAGCTTAGAAATATCTCTTTATTAAAAATGTCAATGAAATAGAAATTAATCAAAAAGGTGCTTCGTAAATATTAAAAATTTTGTTCAACTTGCTACTTATTGTCCCTGTTTTTGAACTTGACCAATCCAACTGCAATCTTTAGACTTTCACTGATTTCCCTCCCCCTTCCTCCCTTATATAATATCTCGTCGAAGTTCCAATTTGGACTTTGTCCAAGAATTTAAATTTCAAGTCGCAAATTTTTGGAATTTCATGTTTTGAAATCAAGCTTATTTGTTTATTATGGCGGCGCCAACAGGTTTATGTGTTTTTTTGAATCGTAACTGTTTTGTTATTTTTCTGCTTTGATTTTTTGGGTTTCGGGTTGCTCAGTTATCGCTCATAAAATTTCCAAATTTATGCTAATCTCTTTTATTAAGCTTTTTTGTGTTGTCATTCATCGTGTATTTCTGGTTGTACGAATACAAATCCAAACGGAATCCATTGTACAGCACGTTTCTGATCCGCAAGAAAATAAAAAATGAGAGAAAAAGCTCCTAGTTATTTTTTTTGGTTACCTTATCAATATTTTTGGCCGCTCGACTGATAAGATTTGTGCTCTGTTGGCCACGTTTTTGCAAAATCGAAAACTCAGTCAGGGTTTTCGTTTATTTTCCATCTTGAGTTCTCAGTACTGATAAGGAACGGTTGAAATTTATGGGTTTACATTGCCGCCTCAGTTTTACGAGGCGTATTAATATTTTATTAGCGCGTATACGCCATGTGGGGCCATCATGAAATTCAAATAAAATTTACTTAATTTGCTGTGGATTTGAAATTGGAATTCCAAACAGTTCTGTCTCTTATCCCATCTGCTAATTGATAAATCATGGGAAATGTGTCGAGAAAAATACAAAAAATCTGGAATGAATAGCATTGAGTGAGCCTCGGTTATGAGAAAAAGATTATACAAGAATGCGAATATTATTTATTTAATTTATTATGAGAGCTTCGTGATGTTTTTCCAAAAAAATCATGTTTTAATAAATATAAAATATAGATAAATCGTGCATAACAAAAACTGTCGCTAAATTTTGTTTCTTACACTAAATTGATGTCGATACATTATTTTTTATGTTTAGTTCCTCATAGTTGTCTTTCATTGCGATATTTCCTACATGTAAATCCTTGCCCATCAGATGATCTAAACTAATTGCATCTTAAATAAGCTCAACAAAAAGCAGCGACTAAACCTGATGGATCTGTCTTATCTTCTCCCTGTGCAATATATTACCCCGCAGGGATTTCACATCTTTAAGTCCTCTGCGCCTCAGTTTTCCTTCCCCTTTTCTCTCCTTTTTTTACTGCCAGCTGTCAGTTGGCGATTTGATAAGCGCGATAAGCAAAGAGCGATCTCTTTCAGTGCCTCCCAGCCGGTCAGCCCTGCCCCGAATTCCCCCCTTTTAACCCCCCGCCCCTCTGTTAGCAATAGATTGGACTGTGGGCAGGTCTCCAGACCAAACTTTTCCCAACCCACCCAACTTGTCATGTGATGTTCGCTTGTTCTTTCGCTCTGCTGATCTCTTCAGCTCTCCTTGCTGTTTTTCATTCGTTATATGTATTTTTTTTTGCTATATTATTATTAGCAAAAACTAAGACACACGACAAGGAAAGTGGAGAAAAAACAACACAGTGGTTGCCGAAAATAAAAACATATAGAAATTGATTTTTAAGAAACATTTTAAGATACAATTATTATAAAAATTTGTAAATCTTCTTCCTATTTCCTAAGAAGTAAATTATTGAAACTTTTAATTTTATTTGGTTAGATTGTTTGTGCCTAATTAAAAAAAATATGTAAGAGCTCGCTTTATTCAGAATATAAACATTGGTATGTATTTCGACTTTTTGGCTTAAACATAAATAATTAAAAACTGTCTAATTTTTCATAGACCACTGTAGTTTGTTATACAATATTGCAAAAGGTGCGGCCTTCTAGATGCGATTTATAAAGAGGAGAGATGGTTAAGGGGTGTAGGATGTTTAGGGGGGCGGTGTTGCTTCGTTAGTAAGGAAGGTGTATTCTCCGCTCTGTACATCGTTTTGCTTTTTTGCATACATTTATCGGCGCCGTTCTCGTTCTCCTTGTTGTTGTTCCTAAAGTTGTTGTCTTGGTTGTTCTTCTTGTAGTTGTTGTGGTTATTGTTGTTGTTGTTGTTTTCGGTGCCTGGGACAGGTGTGTGCCGCCATCGTCTGTCCCGCTCCTTAAGTCTTCTTTTTTTTATAGGCAACCTTTTCTTATGCGTTGTCTATCGCTGATCTTACATCTAAATAGGCTGACGTCGTCGTTGCTTGTTATTGCAGTTCCGTTGGTGGGCTAAAGTAACCCCTTTACCTCGCCCTCCCCTTGCCCCGTTCCACCCAACAACCTGATTTTTAGACCCGTCTCCCCTCCCTTTTCGGTATCTCTACCACTTAACAAATATTTAAAAATCATTCTCATGTTTATTTTAATTAAATCTCACATATTTAATTTGATCTTTCGATTTCGTTATTGTTTTTGCTTTTCGCAGTCAATCAATTGATTTGAGCGATGTTTTGCATATTTATTTGCTCGAGAGCAAAAAGCAAAAATTAGAGAAAATATTTAAATAGCCTAAACGTGTTTAAACAATTAACTTTTGCGTGGAACTAAATAAAAACAGGTGAGAGATTG